GACCTGCCTGCAGTGCCTATCCGTAGCAATAGAATCTATCCCGCCCGAAGCGTTCCCCGTTCACCTGTATTCCCGAGCCTGACCCGTGACACTAACTGCCTTTAAGTATAATAAGAGGCATAAAGTATTATTAATAAATAAAAGATAAAAAGAATGTAATAAGGAAATATATAAAATATAATTGTTTTTATTAATTAATAAATATTCCTTTCTCCTACTATTAGCCTTATATATGGCCATTAAGCTTTTAACTTCTAATTAAAGGCTTAAATAGTAAGGCCTCTATAATAGGCTAATATCTTAAAGGTTAAAATTATACAAGGTTTATCTATCTTAAGGATGTAATTGCTGCCTTAATTAAGTAGTATAAGTACTACTTACTCCTAAATAGCAATAGTAGCCTTCTTTCTTTATTCTACTTAAAAGATTTTTAATTAACCTTTATATTAAATAGATTAACTGCAGTTATAAAGTATATTCTCTAACTTAGCTTTTACTTTATTAAATATAGGTATTAATATTAACTATAGCTATCAATATAATACGTATGTTTAATAGCTTATAGTTATATAATTACATATTATATAACTAGTTATAACCTTAATTTAGCTATTTGGCCTATCTTAAAGGTAATTAATAAAAAAGTACCTAAAGAGATTTATATCATAATAGCTATTATTAAATAATAAACTTAATATTTTACTTATATTAATTAATATTTTATTCCTTATATAACTATTATTCAAGGGTGGCTGGCTTTCTACCGTATCGAATCAAATGCTCCTTTTCGCTGTGTTTGAATCGTACCACATGTGGTTAGCGTCCATTACCGTTTTCAACGGTGAGGTGGGGGTATCGTGGACGGTTCTCCAAACTCCACTCAGCGTAGAGCAGAACGCGATACGCGTATCGCGACACGCATCACGCAACGTGTCCCACCGAAATCACTCGACATGTACACCTGTTTGCACAGTTAGGCTCAGCCACATTTCTTTCTATTCAAACACAGTGCCTCTACAGACAGCGCACTCACCTTTTTGCTAACGATTCCTCGGTCTCGTCTCCAAGGCAAATGATACGCGTGGCTCGCCCGCCCCGTTTCTGCCCATAGCGGTTCCAATTCGACAGAGCACCTTGGCATCTTGCTGTATAGCTACCACGAAACCGAGGCGCAGCCCAAAGCAGGACGTCCAATATCACACAGAGCAACCTGCATCGCCCCGCATCACCTACCGCCAGCTCCAATTCCAGGTCAGGTAGTTCGTCCGCATCGAGTCGCCGACCAAGACCATCGCCATCCCACCGAACGTCGCCTACCTGAATATCCTTATATGACTGCCACTCCTCCAGCTCAACGCGAGGACGCGCATGGCACCAGATCGGCAAAAATGGCAACACGAGATCATGGTGAAGATCAAGGATCAGATATCTCAAGACCTCTCTTGCTTGCTTCCTCTGTCACAGTTTCTCGAGGTCCGATCGAAGCTGGTTTCGGTTTGACCACGCCAGGAAGCCTTCCTCCTCGGCACGCCAATCGTCAGTCCAGCCAAGAACGTCGACCAGACGATGAGAGCACAGATATGAGCAGGAATGGTCCAAACCTCGACAGACAGTAAGTGGCCTCCGGGAAGGTTTAGTGCTCGCTAAAGATGTCTACCTCTTCTTCCTCTCTACCGTTCACGATAGCAGAGGACTATACAGCTCAACCTGAGAATCCAGGCGGTGCTTATAATTCCATGAGCCGACTTGAGAACAGCCCCATAAGAAGCTAGCTCCCAAACGATCTGAACGGCCTCATTTCAAGACTGAACGAGCTAAAATTAGATCCTTCTTCCTCTATTTCCCGCTCTGGAGTTGTTGCCGTTGCGAATGAAGATGAGGGGGCCATAATGAGGGGCGATGGCAAACCCGTCGATTTCCCATCGGGTGGCCTTTCGATTGAACAGTCACCCGATAAGCCGTATTTCACTATTAGCTCGGACAACATAACCATATGAGGTTACTATTCATCCGGCGCCGATGACATAATCGTACACAGACTCGAAACAATCGAAGTCGAGCTTGCCTCATACTCTCCAGTTATGAATGAAATGACCCCTCTTCGAAGCGTCAAGGTCCCCTTTTCATTGAATACCGGTCTATGGCAAATATCTGAGTCCGGGCGAAGGCAAATCTATCTTTATATTTTTCCAAAGACATACGTCTTACACATCAGCTCGGGACCATCAAAGAGACCACGTTTAGAAAGTGGAGAGACCGCGCCTTATCCTCGAAAAAAGGTTCACCTTATGCAGCCACGGCACAAGAAGCCAGTCATTCAGATGCCGAATCTTACTAAGGAGGCAACAAAGACCAATGTCAAGACTGGAACATCCAATCTTGAATTGCTCAGGCCCTCTAGCAGTGTTCGATGGTGTGGTCTGAATACTGCCTTTCGCATCGACACTATTTCCACATCGCAACGAGGACGACGACAGAAGACAAGGGACTGTTTTAAGCTTAGTGCACTAGAGTTGGTGTTTAGTCAATCAAGCACTACCCGTGTTTTCACAGGACAGCATGCTCAACATGGGCTGGTATCGTTCAAAGCAGCCTCTTCAGCAACTGGTTGCAGTAGAGTGCGAAGATGTTTGTCATCATGCGCCGGCGCGCGTGTATAGACGGATGAAGAGTACTGGCACGGCACGGAGGAGTGTAGGACTAACCCGTATTTGGCTTGTTGGTAGACTCCAGAGAAGCTCAGTGCTGGGAACGTTCGTCTAGTATGTGTCCCAAACCTCTTGCGCCTTATCAACCGCATACAGCCAGCCATGGGGCCTCGTGCGACACCCCACCAGCACCCGAGCAAGTGTCAAACATTGTGTACTGCTGTCAGCGGCCTTGACATCTGTGGCTGGCTATCGGGCATTCCAGATCGATGAAGTCACTGTCGATGATGAAGCCCACTAGCCTCCTTAACCGTAACTCCTCGCCAACTGTCACAGAGGGCTTTCACTCCAGATATTAGACGTCAGCTGCACCCACCTTAACCAGGGACTCCTCCATCTGCTTCATTCGGCCGCCCAACTCCCGACGGTAGGTCAAGAGGCCTAATCGTTAGAAGTCAGGCCATGCTAGTGATGGTAAGTTGGTGTACCCAGGTGCTGTCGCATAGGTTGGCATCCAGGAATTCTTGGCTTCCTCGGTCGTCATCTCGATGGGTGAGTATGCATGCCTGATCTGGGAAATTCGGGGAGTTTGGCTACGCCGTTATAGGCTCATGTGGCAGGTGTGCCGCGGATGGTAACTGCATTGGTCGATTGGCACCGAAGCACTACCTGGACCAGGACGAACTCGACGACTTACGTAGCTGCCCAGGGGATATGCACACCTGAAGGAAGGAGCCTGCTGGGTAGCGACGCTGAGCAGCCAGATCGATGCCAGGACCAGCTGACCACGGTCGGCAAGATCGGTGTGGGCAGTCAGGTCAGTGATATCGTCAGCCCAGAGTGCGTAATCAACCAATTCAACTCAACTGGTACCTCCTCGCAGTTGGATTGATATCCGGGCAAGTATGTTTCAGTTGGATTGGAGTTGGACGAGGCTGCTCTCAGTTGGATTGCAGTTGGTTGTTTTGGACCAACGGATATCTCCGATCTTCACGTCCTAACGCCGATCCCACTTATCACTACCACGAGGGTAGGACAATACCCTCCCTACTCCATGACCGCATACTCTGCGCCATCCCAATAGTGTGGCGATCAAGACGAGTTCGTAAAGGTGAAACCATCTTTCCCGCGCTACTAAACGACCTTTCAGTTTCTGCTGACATTGTGGGGATAGACAGCAAGTCAGAGGCCATTCGAGAGAGGTTCGGATACTCCATTTCGTGCTCCTGCCACCAAGAAAGAGGGCTAAATTGGTATTTGTCGTCGGCGGGGCTAAAAGTGTGGATATAACGTTCGTACTCATCAAGCGCCGGGCGCCGTTGCGAAGGATATTTCGCTCTTCCATCTGGATGCGCCCTTTTGCGTTTGCCGAGCGACTGCGCCAGGAACGCGTCATATCCAGAGAGCCCCGTTCGGCTGCCCGCTGTCGGCAGCATCGCTAAGCCAGGAACCTCGCGATTAGCGTACTCCTCCTTCCATATCTTCTTGAGTCTCGTCGAGTAATCTTCTTCCCACTGCGTCGCATCCGCATGTCCTTCCCAGTGGTATTGAAGCGCTGGCCACCCAAAGCAAGGGTGAAGGACTACAGCACCGATGTATGCAACAGGCCAGAGCTTATCGTAATACTCGTTAAGCTTCATCCACGCAAGGTTGATATGGGTAGCAACCATATCAACGCTGTCCTCTCCCAAGCCATCAAGGAGGTCATGATTCTGCTTGAGCCCCTCTAAATGCGTCAAGAGATACTCAAAGGAGGGAAAATATTCCCAAAAGGAGCCGGTGCTAATATGATCATCCTCGCTAGTCTTCGGGTTGCCTTGTAGACGAACGGAGATCTCATCAAACGGCCGCAAGAGCTGAATAAAAACCTCAACCACATCCCAGTCCTCTTCTGACAGCTTGTCGTCAATTATAGAAGGCTTCATTGATTTTCTCTTGCTCCTTTCCCACATCCTTTCCGCCTTTTCGACAATCCGATTGAAGTATATACGGAGAAGCAGCGCGCGGACCATCATACGATGGCGAGAGTTCCAGCGGGTCTCGTTGTCAGCGATAGGTCTGAGCGGCACTCGCTTCTTCCTAGTCTCAGGATCGACGAGTTCAAGGACACCGCTTTTGAGGTCTTCTTCTTGCCACTTCAAGAGGCACTCTAAGTGTTGTGGCGAGTTCAAGACAGCGGCGTTGAGATTGTGAAGTCGACCAACTGGGCCCCTCCTCCGCCATTGCTTAAGCTTATCTGCCGGTAGAGAGTCGAAATCGTATTCGGAGTCCGGTGCACTGCTGCCTGTGTGCTCCATTGCGTCCGCCGCCTTGCCGAATATCAGCTGCTTGACAGCGAGGTTAATGACGTGGCCCAGACAGCGGAGACGGCCTTCGTCCGGATCAAACTCGAATTCGTCGCCGAGAGCCACCATTGCCGTGTCGTTATTGCTGGCATTATCAAGGACCATATACCCAAGCCGGTCGCTTCCAAGATCCCACTCTGCCAAGACGTCAGCCACTTCGTTGGCTAAGTTATCGCCAGTATGGCGTCCGGATACAGCTGGAAGGGCGAGAAGCAGTTTCCGGTGCCGCCATTGTTGGTCAACAAAGAAGCAGTTGACTCCAAGCAACGAGAGCTGATTGCGAGACGTCCAGCCATCAAATGTGATGTGAATCTTGCCACGAGCAGTTTTTAGATGTTCCGTTACAGCTCCTTTCGCCCCGTTGTAGATCGATCGCAGTCGAGATCGAAGGACCGCGGAAGATGGTATCTTGTCTTTGTACATCGGGTTGACAAACTCAATGAGGCGGCGAAGACGCTCACTCTCGATTAGTTGGAAAGGGAGATTATCGTGTGTTATCCAGTCGACGAGTAGCTCTTCGAATGCGCCGAGTTTGAGCCTCCCAATAATGGTAGAAAAGATACGCTGGTCGGCTGGGGCCGCAGTCACTCCAAAGTGTTCTGTCAGAGTCTTAGTGCGGCTGAGCGGCGTCACGTCTTTTCTTGCTGAGTCCTGCAAAATTAAGTCGGAGTAAAATAATGAGGAGCGGCTTATTGCTTACCTTGACCCCATGGATATCTCGCAGGTGCTTGATAATATTGGCACTGCCGTTAGATTCGTACGAGAAGTGCGAGACCGTCCGGCACTTCTTCCTCACGCACAGACGGCATACCCACCGAAGCTTCTTGCTGTTACTCTTGAGTCTCATACGGAACCCTTTCACCCACCACCAGGCAACTTTTGCGCCATTGGTCCTCGGAGGCGTGCCCGCCCGAAGCTCGTCGTTGAAGAGCTCGAACGGGAACGTGGCTATCTCGCCAGGCGTAGGATTCTCATCCAGGTTAAGTATCTTCCTCGGCGGGGTCTGCGGCGTTGAGCCTGACAAGAATGAGGACTGAGTAGAGAGCCTCGACGGGCAGGGAGACGAATGTAGGGTCAACGACGTTTCAGAGCCTACTTGGCCCAAGAAAATGTCCTGGGAATCGACATCCATGGTGTTGGCGGCTGGGAAGCTAGACTGCTGGAGTCTTTCAGCGAAGGAGTACTATGGATACCTTCAGCGGCAACGTACTGCAGCATTTGACGCCCAAAGACTAACGTCCTTCGCCTCCATTTTATCGGACACGACAGCGCAGCCTTTCCAGGCCGTCTGTAGGGACAATTGACGTGCTGAGAAACCGCCACGCGATCCGACGCGTCGTGTGCAAATCGCGAAGCTCTGATATGGTCAAAGGCGTGTTAGCAGGTACAGCCACAGCACTGTATAATCTACGGTACCGGATGTATCTTGCAACCGAAACGATCACCCTAACGTGGAGAAAAGGTTTGTCGGGTTCGGCTTGGGATGATGCCCCTCAGCGGCCGATCATTGGCCAGCAGGCCAAACTGGGAAGGTGAATGTGTGGTCAAAGTTACGGCGCCGGGGTCTCACACTGAATGGAACGAGTTGGATCCGGTTGGATCCAAACCCAATCAATTGGACCTCTGAATTGGCTGGTTGCCAAGCACGGGGAGCGAGATCTCAGTTGAGTTGGACCTACAGTTGGAGGATCCAACGGATCCAACGATTGGAAGTAGTTGGTTGATTACGCACTCTGCGTCAGCCATGAGATCGACAACATCTTGGTCATTGTCGACTGTGCCGGGGGGGGGG